GACAAAATATGTATCAAATTATTTTTTGCTTAATATTGATCACTCATGGGGTCATAGATGCGCGGAAAATCAGTGTTGGAGGCAAAAATCGTGGGTCAAGCGCAGCAAGAACAAATGTGGTCAGTATACAAGTTAACTTATCCACTTATCGGTCATTTCCATATTTTTTTGAATATATTCCGTAGCGTTCAATAAAGTCTGTTGAGTAAATTGAAACTTTTTCCATAGTATAGTGGTAATGACTACTTGTAGTGGATTAATCTTATTTTCTCAGGAATTAGCAAATCTCAAGGTTTAATTTCTTCTGATTTTTAGGACATTTTATTACGAAGACAGTTTTCAAAAAAAAGTCATTTGATTTTTCGATTATTTTATATATATAAACCTTAGCTATTGAGATATCGCAAGATTTAAATGAGGCATTTTTTAATTATTATTTTATCATTACTTTTTCTGACTTTAGCAGTCGGGTGGAACGTACCATGCACAACAGAATGGATATTACCCGCAGCATGGCAATTATCCTTCTAATCAGCCTGGTGTTTATCGTCCTAATCAACCTAATGTATATCATCCTAACCAAGCTGGTGGATATCATGCTAATCAAGCTGGTGGATATCATCCTAATCAAGCTGGTGGATATCATCCACAAGCTGGTTACGTTCCTAATCAAATGAAGTAAGCGACGTCAAAATTCTTACATTCATAAATATAAAAAAATGAAAAATGTGCAGTAAATATATTAAAATACGCAATAATACTTTTTTTATGTAGTCAATTTTGTTATATTCACAAGTGCAGCATATTTTCTGCAGATTCAACCCTGGAATGGGTGCTGGCACCAAATCATCTAGTATGGGGACATTCAAAAAAGCTTTGATTGGTGGTGCAATTGGAGCTGCTGCAGGTTTGGCAACCTTTGAACTAGGAAAGGTCAGTCAGATAATTTTAATCATCCGTTTGTTTGCACCACAAAATTGTTATTGAACCACTCAGAATCGAAAATAAATTTAGCATAGCACATTTCGAAAATAAAAAAGTTAATGATCAGTGCAAATCTAAGTTACAATAGATCAAGCACTGATAAGGTATTACTTTAGGCTATCCTTCGATCCCACTCGCAGCCACTGCAAGCTCCAAATGGTCAAAATTACTATTTTGATGAAAGTAATCATCAATCCAAGAATGGATTCTTCATGTGCTCAATGCCACTTGATGAAGTAGTTAAAGCAGTACAAGTAAGCTTCTTTTCTTTTTTCTGAGCAAACAGAGTAGAACCTATCTGCGCAGCAATTTGACTGAACAAGTCCTTTCAGTGAAATCATGAAAAAGTTGTGATCTCATAATCATCAGCAAATTTCAGATAAGATCAATATTGGGCATTTCTGTTTTTTATTTTCAGGAGAGTTCAAGTCAAACACCGAAAGACGACTCCAAGAATTCTACTGATATCACACCAGAACAGTTCTTTAAGACTGTAAATTATTCCTATCACACCAATTTAGAGAGCAGTTATTCTTGGAATTAAAGATTTTGAGCATTTTATAACAAATTTTAAGCAACACATTTGGTTTAACAGTTTTCATTCAACGTACCTTTGAGGTGCAATTCAAAGACGGTTCAAGACCAAAATCAT